GTGTGGGACTCAAGAAGGCAACTCGGATTGTTAATCGGTGGCGTCGGGCAAAAGCTTCGACTTTGTCCTTCCTCTTTTTGTCTAGGCTAGAGTCGTTGGCCTAGGTATGGAATCTGGATGGGTGCAGCAACGTGCGTCGTGCTCGTGCTTCTGCTTCAATCCGCCAAGAGCCAATCGAACGGACCACGATGCCAACCACATCCCCTCAAAGCTTGATCGTGAGAATGATGCACTTTGGTGATCTCGATGTACGAAAGGGACTGGACTGGACGAACGACTCGGCACACTTACCCATGGCTGCTGAATGCTTCAATTACCATTGCCCCGTCTGCACTCTGAGCTGCTTGACATCCGAAATGCGTAAAGCTCCCCTCGTGGTTCCCTCGCTCATATCGTATGGCCACTGACTGCACGACCAACATCCCATTAGGCATGTGGTGAACAACCGGGAAGAAATCTTCATAGGGTACCACCGACCACGTCGTACCTGGGTCGGCTGCGTCTGCTTCTGAGATCCTGGATAGCTAACGAGATACCTAGGTACCTCCCCCACCCACCTTAGGTTTAGGTTAGGTATGGTCACTGTACCGTCCTGTACCTACACCTATCAAGCGTTCGACTAGCATTTGCCCCACGATGGAAGCATTCCCAATCGAGACCTGGGACCGTCCACGCTTTCTAGTACAAGTACCTGCCTGCAGCCCCAAAGCTTGTCCTCCTCCTCCCTCTCCGCCTCATCGAGCCTCTTTCTTGTACTACAGTCTTTATTCGACGGCATGCGTTCCTCCATCGTTGCCGCTCTGTCCTTGGCCTCTATCACGGTTGCCGGTCCAGTCTCTTCTCCTACCGCAACAGATCCGGTCAATGTCTACGCAGCCCAGGCAACGGCGTTAACTCGCTCCCCAACCAGTAATGTCAAGGGGAAAGTCTTTGACCGCTATGTCTCCATCTGGTTCGAAAATACCGACTATGATATGGCAGCTGCAGACCGTATGTCGTCCTACGATACACTCTCCTTGCGGGCCAGTCATGCTAACTTTGGGATCAGCCAACTTTGCTTTCTTTGCAAAAAAGGGAATCACGTTAAGTAACAGCGTAGCTGTGACACATCCCAGTGAGCCGAACTATATGGCTGCGGTGGGTGGTGATTACTTTGGTCTGAATGGTGACCCTTTCATTGCAATTCCGGAGAATGTTTCGTCGGTGGTAGACTTGCTCGAGGATAAAGGCATCTCGTGGGGTCTTTACCAAGAAGACATGCCTTATTCGGGATATCAAGGAATGTCCTGGGTCAATCAAAAAAATGGTGCAAATGATTATGTGCGAAAACATAAGTGAGTTCCGCCCATCGTATCACACATGACTTGAAGTTGACCCACGCAAGCCCCGAAATTCTGTACAACTCTGTAGTCACCAAACCAGAGCGTGCTGCTCAGATCAAGAACACGACCATGTTCTTCGAAGATCTCAAAAACGATCAGCTGCCCCAGTGGATGTTCATCACCCCAAACATGACCAGCGATGGCCACGACACCTCTGTTACCACGGCCGGCGTATGGCTTCGGACATTCCTGGAGCCACTCCTTAAGGACAAGAACTTCATGAAAAATACATTGGTTTTGATCACCTTCGACGAGAACGAAACCTACAGTATCGAAAACAAAGTCTTCAGTGTTCTTTTAGGAGACGCAGTCCCCGAGGCCCTTGTTGGCACAACTGATTCGAACTACTACAACCATTATTCGGAGATCTCAACTGTAGAGGCCAACTGGTAAGATACATCAAATGACATTCTTATTTCATGTCCACTAACCGTCAAACAGGGGCTTGTTCACACTCGGCCGCTGGGACGTGGGGGCTAACGTTTTCTCCATGGTCGCTGCTGATACGGGTGATCGCCTTCGGAAATGGTCCGTCCCTCAAACACAGTACTTCAACTTTTCCTACCCTGGAATCTTCAACTCGGCAAAGTGGGCTCCACAGCCAGTTCCTGATTGTCACTCAAACCGAAATGGACGAACTACGCTTCCTAAAATTCGAGACACTTGGATCAAACTCCAGGGCGAAAACTACTACCACGTAAGTGAAAAGTACTCCATGGAGACAACCTTGGAAGAGAAGCTAATTGTATTGTCAGGGACAACTTGAAATTCCTGATGGCTACAACCCACCCGTCCGTTCATAGACTAGAGACATGTATATCTGCCATTCAATCGGTCTGCGCATATAAAGAGCCATCGACAATACGTTATCAAATAGTTCAATTTTAAGCATTCAGTAGCATAATTCTCCTATCGAGAGTTGGGTCTAGTTAGATTATTTACAATTCACCTATGGCCATTGAGTGTTCCTGGCATTCCATTTGCATCCACTTGGTACTAATCGTCCATAAAAACATAACCGTATCCGAAGCTCTTCCCTATTTATTTATTTTTCTCTTCACCGCTCACCTAGGTTTGAAGCTGTCAAACTAATAATCGCGCCGCTGTAATAGACAAAATACCAGACTAGTATCCCACCACTCCAGGAAGTGACACCTCGTACCATACGAGGATACGTAAGCGTAAGCGAAGCGGGTGAACTGTTGCGACCCCGCTTTTCGTACGGGCATCGATTACTTGTACACTGCAAGGTACCTTCGTCTCTTCACTCGCATCTCTTTACTCTCACATATATCTCCTGAGACGGACATTCACTGTTCTCCTGACAGTCATGTCGGCCAAAGATACAATTTCTCTCGCGCACACAGCTAGGTGCAAATTGATGATTGCAGCTGACCAACCTGATCGTAATCTTCGTTTCATTCTTGGTCATGCCTTCACGTTAGACAAATTACGGCTTCGGGTTCTTGAGATTGAAACCGAGAATGGTGGTTTGGAGGATGATTCAGAGCTCTCGACATTAAATGCAGAACGGCCTCGACGTGTCAGTTTCCCCAATAACTCCAGGTCTCATACAACAACCAGAAACCGGAGCCCGCCTCCAGGCGGCAAGGCGCAATTTGATTCCTCAAGCTCGGATGATGGATATGAGGAAGATGACGAGGAGGAAGATGAGGAGGCTGACGATGGCTTGTCCCTGAGAAGATTTACATCGGCAACCGCTCAACCCCCTCGTATGATCGAAGATGAGGATAGTGACGGAGAGGATGAGAATGAGAACGAACCTGTCTCTCCTCCTCCTTTACCGACCGATATGGAGCTACAGACCATCACGGAAGGCCCGGAGAGCGAAGACCTAGCTGGCCTTTACCAACACGTAAAGGGGTGTCCTTGTTCAGCGGAACACCAGAATGCACCTGGTATCACTAGGGCGTGGGAACTCCCGCAGAAGCCGGGCTACGAAGGGAAGAGGCTTGCTGTGGTCGAGGTTGCGGCATGAGAAATAAGTTAGAACATTGCATTCCATCATATAATCCGACGGGGTAGTGGGCAGTCCTGCCTGGGTGGGTTGCTAATCATTTGGCGCCTTCTGCTATTCGGTACGGCTTCTAGGAGAGGTTATTGCTTATTGTACTACGACGAATTCATAAGCCATACTTGGGTAGTTAATTTGCGCCTTGTGCTTTTTTTATCTTTCGCTGGGCGTAGAGAGGAGATGAGACGTTAACGTGAAGCCCATAAGCGCTGCGCATGCTGCAGCTCAGTTGATTGTGACGAAAGCGTTGCCTAGAGCCAACAGTTGCACATTCCATTACCAGCTCAAGATGTGCTCTCCTACCTACCTACCTACCTACCTCATGACTTTCTACCTCCGAAATACTGGAAACCTCTCTCAAACCTATTCGACCCAAAGAGACTACTTTCAACCTGGCGCACTTCTGCTCTATTTCCTGGCTCGTTTGCCATATCCATCTTTTCACCTTTGCGTCCTTCATTCTTTTCCGCCAGCACACAATCGAAAACCTTGAGACAGACACTTAACCTCGATGGAGCCCGCCATAACCGCATATTCTGAAGATGAGGAATCCGAGTTGGACAGCGACGATCTTGACGAGATTGATTTGATAGAGGGGGATAGTGAGCCCGTCAACAGATACGGCAGCAAGTTATACTATCCTCTGACCATTGGGGAAGTTCTAGGCCAGAGATATACGATTGTCCACAAGCTCGGCTGAGGCGGCTGTTCTACTGTGTGGATGGCCCACGACACACGAGAAAGAAAATATGTGGCTCTCAAGATTTTGACTTCAGACAAGCGCGGAAACACGGGTGGAGAATCAGATGCAACTAATGACTACCTACTTGGTCAAGGGAAGTCCAATCTGCTCACGTACCACGAGTGGTTTGAGCTTTCTGCCGCCACAACATCGCATGTACATCGCGTACTGATATTTCCCCTGGTGGGCCCGAATCTTGATCAGACTTTCTCACACGCGATGCCTATGTCTACTCATATGTATTATCGCATGTCTGCAGCATGGCAGTTGCTACTGAGTTTGAAAAATTTACACGAAGCCAAAATAGTGCACCGAGGTAAGCTAAAGCCAGTCTCTCATCTTCCATACTCCCTTAGACAATCAGTGCTAACACATTAGAAAGATCTGAACCCAGGAGCCGTAATGTGGGGATTGACGAGCCTTGATGACTACGACACGACCACCATATACGAACACCTCGGAGTCCCAAGAAAGTACGATCTAGGGTGGTTGTGGAAGCCTGGAGAGCTCGTGAAGCCAGCGACAATCCCTGAAATGTTGCGTGACGACAGGATCTATCTCGGCGACTTTGGGATGGCCATCAAAGACGATACGCCAGTCCCTACCAAGGTGCAAACACCGACCCAGTTCTGCGCCCCGGAGAGGTTTCATGGTGTGGACCCAAGTTCTGCTAGCGACATGTGGAGCTATATGTACATTTTTTCGTGGATTTATCTTGGTTTCGTTCCCGTTCAACGTCGCGGAGGTGTTGGAGTAATGTCTGATCTAGTCGGTATCTTAGGTCCACTACCTGAACACTGGCACGGCTATTTCAAGTGTGGTAAAGAGCAAGGTAGCGATGGATGGTATGACCAGAGCCAGGTGCCTATTGAAAAGATGACCCTGACCTCGTTGGTAGCGGGAAGGCAGTCTGCGGTCAGCCAAGAGGAGCAGGAATTAGTTGGAAAGTTCTTGAGAAGGTGTTTCGCTATAAGCCTACGTACCGCTTAACTGCTACGCAATTGCTAGAGGATTCTGACTTTATCGATCTTATAGGACGTTATATCTTAATTTCTTAATTTAACGATAAAGAGAACTAGTATATATATTTTCTAAGTATATAAATAGTTATTTACTTTAGTAAACTAGATTCTTAAGTACTCTAATATATCTAGAATATTATAATAATAAATAAATTTATATTAAGAGAAAGTTATCTAGTTAGTATAGTAGCTAGTAATACTAGTAGTAGACTATTAGTACTAGTAGAGTAGTATAGCTTTAGTTAAAAGTACTATAGTTAGATAAAAAACCTCTATTTACTAGCTAGTAGCTAGTAGCTTTATATAAGATTCTATTAATAATAAATATTATAGTATTAGTATTATATATTTATTATAATAGCTATACTAATACTTTTAGTAGTATATTTATTACTATAACTATTAATATATAAGTTTATACTAGTAGTAATAATAATATAAGTATTTATAGTAACTATATCTTTTTAAGTAGTATAGAAGTCTATAATATTTATAGAGTTAAGAAGTCTATTAAGGTTTTTATTAATATTATATATTCTACTATCTAAAGAGTTATAGTTATTATTAATAGCTATAATAATTATATCTTTTCTACTATATAGACTAGTAGTAACTTCTATATAGTTATAAATAACTAGAATACTATATACTTTATAGAGAATTATAATATTAATAGTAATAGTAGAGATTATAATAAATATACTATTAAATATATCTTTCTACTTTTAGTATTTTATATCTTATTATATTTTAAATAGTATTAGTTAGTTTATATTCTATAGTATATTATTTATTTTTAAATCTAATATTTTTTTCTTTTACTTTTAGATATATAAATAAGCTATCTCTTCTTTCTCTCTAAATACTAATTAAAATTAATTCTATTACTTTTAACTCTATATAAGTTTATATATATTCTATAATAATTCTAGTATTCTATATATAGTAGATAGAGGTTTTGTCGGGTTAGTATATAAGTAAGTACGTATAAGATTATTAAGTTATATACTTAGAGGTATATTTATTATAATAAGAGTAAGTTAAATAGATAATATACTATTACTATAGTAAGTTAAGTATAAAGCTTCTATCTAAGAAAATTATAATTATTTATATAGAACTTTCTACTTTACTTAAGTCTTAATAAGTTTAATAAGTTTAATAAGTTTAATAGTAAACCTAGTAAACTTATTAAACTTCTACTTATTATATAATACTACCTAAAACCGGGGCCTATCCGCTAATCTAAATATAGCTAATATTAACTAAATTAAACTACTAGATAGTAGTCCTAGAAACTACTTAGTTTCTATAATCTCGCCTAATTCTAGAATCTTTAGTTCTAGAAGTATTATAATACTAAGACTAAGCTACTCGTAATACTATTCTCTATTTAGACTAGTAGGTCTATACGCTTAAGTATAACTAAGAAATACGTCGGTTAAAGGCTATAGACTTCTCTTCTTTCTAATATACTACTCGACTATATAACTAAACGTTTTAATATTATAGTCCTTAGAAAATAAATTAATTTAACTAGAAGAAAGATAGTACCTTATTCTTATTATAAAAAAGCGAGAAAAATATATATAGTTTTATAAAACTTAAACTATAGTTATTATAATACCTATACTACTACTAGTAAGACTTATAATATAAAAGAGGTAAACCGAATACTTATAGAATTTAACTAGGAGAGTATCGAGGCTTAGGAGGCTAAGCTAGAGGCCAAGAAAGAAGAGGTATAGAATCTTTAGTAGAAGACGTAGATAGCCTAATAAGAGGCTACTTTCTACACCTTATATATTAAGAAGTAGAAATACTTTCTTTATAAGTAGAAGTAGAAGATAATCTCGGTAGGTCTTAACTCGCTAGATAAGTTAGATAAGTTAAAGAAGAAAGAGTAGTAGAAAGAAGAGAAGAAGAGAGAGAAGAAGAAGAGAGAAGTAGAAGTAGAACGACTACTAGCCTACTCTACCTCGTCTAACGACTTCTCTATAATAGGTTAGACTCGAAGGTAGTACTTAGTATAGTCTACGCTAGAGTTACGTATATATACGTAACTTACCTCGCTTACCTTACCTATATATAAAAAGCTATAGCTCTAACTCTCTTTCTTTCTTAGTAATTATAAACTATTATAAACGACTCTACTACTTTAACTAAAGGCTTAGCCTATAATAATATAATTACTTACTCTTATCTTATAATTAGAGGACGTATAATAGTATATAAGTTTAGAAATATATAAACTAGAAACGTAGAAACTATAATAGTACCTTATACTTAATAATAATAATTAAGTAGAGAGCTTAATCGACCTATTAGATAATAGTATAATATTTAGATAGCTAGTATATAACTTAGAATATAAATAGAGTAAGAAAACTCTAAACTATAAAGTTATCGAGATTATATAGTAAATTTAGTAGAATTAGAATTTTTACTTAAAAGTTATTTACCTACTCGAGAATCTTAGATAATAGAAGAAAAGACTTTATAGTAGTAAATATTAGAGAGCTTATTAGAGAGTTTTTACGGATTTATAGATAGTTACTATAATAGTAATAAAGAAGCAATAGATAGAAGAATATATAACGTAAGAGGTAACGTAGAAGAAGGCTCTTTAGAAGAACTAGTAGTACTATTACTTATAGAGAATAATATTTAAACTATCTTTAATTAACTAGTAGCGAGTAACTAGTCGAGTAAGAGTTAGATTAGAGAGCTAGCGGCCTAGGTTATAAGTATAGAATAAGTATAATAAGCTATAAAGTAAGCCTAAATTACTATAGCTTAACGACTTAATACTTAGATAAAGAATATCTTAGAAGCTCTAGCTAGACTCTAGCTATAGATTCTAGCTATACCTCTCTCTCTAGTTATAATATTTAATTAATAACCTACTTCTTCTCTTATAGAGGTATAGAAAGCTAGAAAGCCGAAGACTAGCTTACTAAATATAGAGAAGTTTAATAGTAAAGATAAGACTCTATATACTTAATATATAAGTAAGCTTAAAGTAAAACTTATAATTAATAGGGCTATAATTAGAGACTTAGAATACTAAGTCTAGTATAGGTTTAGTTGTCTAATAAGTAAAGCGGTATAAGTAATCTATCTATAGATCGAGTATACTAAGAAAAGTCTAGAGTTTATAGTTAATAGATTCTTTAACTAACTAAACTTAGTCTTTAAAGATAAATACTAAGCTATAAAGGTAAGTAAAGCCCTTAGACGTATAAAGTAAGGCTTTATATTACTCTAAGAATATATTACCTAGATAAACTAATAGATTTTAGAAGCTAGTAGTTAAAGATAAGAGAATATAGTTAAGAAGAACCTTCTAAGAACGTCGCTTAATAGTAAACTCTTAGATTAGATAGTAACTATTGTCGAACTATCTAGTTATTAATAGTACTATAAGGTACTAAGTAATATCTAAGAGAATATATAAATAGTTAAGGACTTAAAGTCTTACTATTTATACTAGAAGATATAAGTAAGTTTCTTTAAGAAGTAATTTAAGTATAGTAAACTGTTACGAGTAGCGTCGGCCTCGGCGTCGTAATACTCCTAGAACTAAAGGTCCTAGGATTAGGCGAGGTCACGGGAATTAAGTAGCTCCCGGGACCGCCGTCTAATAGGTTAATTTAGTTAAAGTTAGTAATATTTATATTAGCGGATAGGCCCCGGTTTAGGGTGCCGTTACGTGACGAAGAAAGTTCGACAAGTTCGATAAGTTCGACTAGCGAACCTATCGAACTTAAGAAAAGAAAGTTCTATATAATAATTATAATTTCCTTAGATAGGAGCTTTGTACTTAACTTATTATAGTAATAGTATATTATCTATTTGACTTACTCTTATTATAACGAATAGATCTCCGAATCTATAAGTAATAATCTTATATATACTTCTCAATATACTAACCTTATAATAACTCTAGTCTACCCCGAATAGAACCGAATCGTTACACTTTAAGTACCTATTCTAAGTATACCCCGATTATTAATAATAGCTTTATCTAGTAAGAAGACTACCCTACTACCTAACGTTAGCCTAACCGCTAGTCGTATTAACCTTACTCCTACTACTAACCTAACTTAGGAAAGCGGTAAGGAACGCGACAATATTAGTATACTAGACGACGACGGGAGAAATATTACTATCGAAAATATAGTACTACTTAAGGTTACCCTACCTAAACGATATATAGAGGAACGCTCGAAGTTAGAAACGTTCCTTATTTAGGCCGAGCTTTACTTCGCCTTTAATAAAGACTAGTTTAGTAAAGAAAAGTATAAGGTCTTATAGGCCTCGTCTTATCTCAAGGATACCGCGTATCTTTAGATCTAACCTTTTATTAGGGACTACTTTAAATACGACGATAAGCCTACTAGTATAATAGCGATAACCCGAAAGATCTTTAGGGATTTTGGGAGTTTTAAGGTAGAGATACGGCGAATATTTAGGGATATTAACGCTAAAAGAACGGCTATACGTAAGCTATTAGCCTTTACCTAAATAGGATCGGTAATTTACTACGCTATAGAATTCTAATATTACGGAAACAAAACTAGATAGAATACTACGGCGCTACTCGAAATTTTCTAGCGAGGATTGAAATACTACCTTAGAGAAGAACTAGTATACTAGGGACGAGTTTACTACGATATAGTAACTATAATCGAAGAGGTAGTTAAACTAGATAACTATCTCTACGAGTTCTATAAGGAACGAGGAAAGCCCGATAATTACTATAAGAGGTATTACAAGTAACGTAGTAATACGAGGCAATTAAATACGTCCTTTAAGAAAACCCTATAACGAGGATAGCTCTCCGATAAGAAAAGAATACGACAAAGAGAGAAGAGACTCTACTTCGAGTATAGAAAAGAAGGCTATATAGCTAGTTTCTATTATAAGGGAAAGCCGTGGAAAGGCTAGAAAAAACAGTTCGGTAAT